AGGATACATATTTAGCTTTTGAAAAAAAAAAATTATTCATTTTTCTTAATTTTTGTATTTAAAAATATATCTTAATTTTAACTTATTTTTACTTTTTGATAGAACTCTTAATATGTTGGAGACTAAAATTTATAAATAAAAAAAGCATTAACTTGATTATTGTTTTGAAATTTTGGATGCAGTTTTTGTTAATACGCGAAATAATAGGTTAACATGCATTTAGTGAGTAATAAAGCATTTTGTCCAAAATTGTATATATGTATTATCTGATTTTGAGTCAGGTACAACATTAATATAAATATTTTGAAAAAAATGAGAAAAGTAAAATAGAAATATATAGTTAATTATATATATATATATATATATATGTTCGATTATCTTTGGATATCCATTTAGATCTGGATATTACCCGTTTGATATACCCGTTTTGGTATTACCCATCCGGTTCAGATATTTTATTTCTTCTAATTAAATATCCGTTCGGATATTTTGTCATTTCTATTTGGATTTTTCGGAAATCACTAAACATAACAGACATTTATCAAATGACATTCAATTGGACATACAAAATATCTTTCGAAATACAATATACACAATGCAATATAGTTACCTGAAATTATCTTATCCTATGTTACATTTCTGTACATTTTCCATCAACTCATCATCTAACATGCCATTATGAATAAAGTTCAAAAACATGCCATTATGAACACAACATATCGTACAAAAACTCTTATATAGTATAGTACTACTACATAAAACTAATTTGGACCTTTTATTTATCAAGCTTTTTATGTATGTGATGGTAATTATTAATGGGTGCCATAACAAATTGGTCTAACTAAACCATTGTCCATACCTGGTTCAAATAAATTGTCAAATATTTAAAGAAACTAAACCAAATAGGTTAATAGATTACCATCACATGTTATTTCTAACCCTATAAAATTTATATATTGTTACTAAAATTATAATAGCCACATAATATGGTCAATGTTTATATTGTGTGGCTTTCTTTGTTCTTTCTCAATTAATGACTAATAGAAATAAAACTAATCAATAGAAATAAATCCTAATCAATCTATTGGTAGCATATAAAGTTAAAAGTCATTTCAAAATATTCAAGATTTCGAGCATGAAATATTCAAATGATGTTTTTGACACAAATTTACTGGAATAAATACATCCTAATATTTATATAAAACCCCAATAAAATACTTTCAGAACAAATAATAACCAAACTACAAACTACACATTCTAAACTGAAATCAAATTTAAAATTACATAATTTTAAATATCATTTTATAAAAATTAATCCAGCGTTTTTACGCAGGTTAGAATCTAGTGTATATAAACTTTAGTTATCTGAATTGCTGAAGAATTTAGCACATCAATATTGATATACTTTGAATCTTTTATAACTCACTACAGTAGATAGTCATGGATCTTGTTTTTTTTTTTGAACAAAGTCATGGATTTTGTTATGATTTATAATATAATATTATGTGATTTTAAGTAAATTTTGGTGTATATTCATAAGTTTATTATCAGATCTATGAATTTATTAGCATTAGTTTTTTTTAAGAGAGCATAGAGTTTTGAACTAGAATAACTTATAAATATATAAAACATGTTAATGTAAATCTCTTGTAGTAAAAAACACTCAGCAAGTTAAAAAAAAAAAAAAACACTCAGCAAGTTTATTATCAGATCTTTGACCAACATTGCAAACTGCTCTCATGTGGCTTAAGCTCTAATGTCCGAAGTTCTTGTGGTCAAAGCTTCACTTAGCAATGCACTTTATCGGAATTTTTAGAACATTGAACATTTGCTCCGATTCCAAGATCCTTATGGAGTTTGTCAACTCCCAAAGGCCAAATCTATGCGTGTAGAAACAAGGTGTCTTCAGTGATATCCACATTCTTTGTGCTTTCTTTGGTTTTATCTCCTCTACATGTAGCTCTAGTTTTTGTAATGGTCTGGCTGACCCTCTAGCTAAATCAGTCCTCCAAGAACTTTAAACCGGTTTGGTAAGACTGCGTCTATTATCCTTAAGTCATGTTTGTTCAAAAAAATATCCGTTTTGTGTGATAGAATAATTAATTGATAAACCAAATAAAAAAATTAAAAGTTTGATATCAACTTTCAAATTTATTTTAAATGATAATTATGTTCATAAATACTTTAAATTATAATAAAATATTAAATTAACTCTCTTAAATTATTTATAAAATTTTAAGAATAATTTATATATAGCTAATCCTATCCTTTAAATACTAAACGTCAAACAATAATCACTAAATTCTAACCTATTTTTGATTGACTATATTTCTAAAAATGGAAGACAACTCAGAATGTTTTAAGAAATTTCTCATGAAATCGATGTATCCTTTACTTTCTTTTATTTAGTTTCCCACTTTATTTTCTAGATCTGTTAAACTAGGGCAAATCTCTAAAATAATCCTCTTTTAAGTTTTTATCACAAAAATAGACCTCAAAAATTAAAATGACCTAAATAGCACTTTTTATTTTGAAATTTTTAAGTTTTTTTTTTATTTTTTTTAAATTCGAAACCATATCCTCAAAACCCCACTCCTCAATTCTAAACAAAAAATTCTAGAATTAGTTATCCCAATGGGTATAAATGTATATTAATAAAACATTTAAGTGCTATTTTGGTCATTTTAATTGTTAAGGTCTATATTTGTGATAAAAAAATTTTAAGGTCTATTTTAGTCATTTTTTTGTAAACTAATTGATGACAAATTTTTTTTACAGTTAACCGTTATCTAGACCCTAAAACAGTTAACCGTTTTGTAGACATTCTAGTGAAGATGCTTTTAGTAGATTGCTCGATAATAATGATTGAGATTTTCAATATGACTTTGTAATCATTCCATATACATGTGTGCATGTGACTAGCCTTTTCATACAAATCTATGATGAACAATAAGCTCTGGCCATTATAAACAATTATTAGTGGTTTTCTCCTTTAAGTCGAATCCGTGACATATGGGCGTGTTATTGCATTGTTATGTGTTATGCTAAAAAAGGTTACAATTATTTGAATAATAATGTACGGTAAATGTGATACAGCAATGATTATCATAACTATCAACAAGCCAATCACTTAATTTACGGAAAATTAAAATAAACGTCTAGGGCCCAAATTACATTGGAGAAAAATAGTGTGGTGCACTTTATCGAGACAATTCTATATATTTTCACTAGTTTCAAAATTATTTTTTGTCTCAAATATTTGTCGTTTTACTTTTGATTTTTAAAACAAATGTGATGAAAGACAAAACTGATCAAATCAATCTAAAATAGCCACAGCTTCTTTAATTTTTCAATTGAACATATTCTTAGTGAAAGTGATTGGTTCATAGATCAGTAGTAACTTTACACACATTCATGTTTGATTTTCAATTCCAAATTTTTGTTGGGTTCAGTTTTTCTTTGTTTGCTGACCAACACACACAAAATTTTCGTTTCAAGTTAATAGTCTCTTGTGATCCTATATGCATGTGTGCTACACGGATTGTTAAAGTATGTGTTGTGAATGATAATCGACATTAGTAACATTCCATCTGTTTTAATGTACAAGTTATTCTAGAAGTCTTTTGTTTTATCATATAAGTTTATAAAAGTAATAAAATAACTAAAAATGACATTAGATTAAAAGTTATATATAGAATTTGAAAGATGATTTATCATTAGCTATTTTTTATTAAATAAATTCTCTTTCGCCTATCTAATCTAAGAAATTTCCCTCAAATCCTTCTTTTTGGAGGAAGGGTGGAAAGGGAGGAAATTCCCTCCAATCCTTTTAGTTTTTCTAAAATCTAATTGACAAAACTTTAGCTTAAAGACAAAATATTTTTTTAGAGAAACTATATACAAAGTATACTTAGGTAATATTTAATCAAAACAACTTGTAAATAAAAATAGAAAGGAGTATGCAATAATGATGTAACAAGGCAAACTACATCCCTTCAATTTTTTTTTTTAAATTACTAATCTAAAGTATTAATATATGCATACATTATGCCAAAAGATGTGCATATAATTATTTTGCAATTAATACTTTTGTTTGGCAACAGAAAGATAACAGTAAACTAAAATAAAATAAACAAACCAATAAAATGCTTTCGCATCATAATATAATTTCTGAAATTGGTGTCAAACGCAAATGCAAGTGAAATCAAAGTATCAGACGCTAACATGGCATTTGCGGACGGGACGGTTAAAAAACAATCACGGGCAGCTCATGGCTCATATTCAAAGTGGAAAATAATCGAGCACTAACTCCCCTCTACTCTTCGAGTAATAAACCACATATGGATAATTTTGGTTACATATTTTAGCCGTATTAAAATATATATTTTAGCAATATTGAAACCCTATGTATCTCTATATGTAAATGTTTAAGCTACCTATATATAGGTATATATGAAGAGTAGCATTGAAAAATAATAATGGAGACGATGTGAATGTCATACTTATCATGTGCGTTCCTGTGATGATTCCACATGCCTCATGACCCCCAGAACAAAACACGTTATCTATAAAGAGCAAAAATAACTTTGGATTCATGTTTTTATTCTCCTTTTCCTGCTTCTCTGTAAAAGTTAATCCATTATTGAGAACAACCAAGAAAACAGATGGTAGAGACTATAACTTTTATCTCAAAATTAATTTTCATATTTTGGAAATTAAATTCCTCTGATTAATTTTAGTTTTTACTTTAGTTATATATGCGTATACTGTTTTGTTACTCAAGATATATTAGACTGAGTTTGAGAAATTTAATAGACCATTAAATGTATATATATAATTTTATCTCACTAGCTAGAGTATTTATCATTTTTTTCGAGTTGGATATGTATATACACACACACCAGACCTGCCGTAATAAAACTTCTATAGAATGTTGATCATATTAATTTTCAATGTCCAAGTCTAAGTGACTGATCTCATGTTTACAATCCAAAATGTGATTAAAAACCGGTATTAAATGGGATGCCGGTTGCATTAAGCCACGTCCGACCATCAATAAATGGACCGACTGTGAATTGGGTTGCTTCCGTTGCGTTTATGCGTCTATAGCCAGGCCATTTGACCCGGTGTGTCATGTTCGACCCAGGTCCTTCATTCATATACTCTCCATAATATAGCGTTTCAAGACCAGCAGTTCCGTTCCATTCCAACCACCCAGCAGGATCAACCAGATCGTCAATAAACGATTTTATGATGATCGTCCTAGAGAAGTATTTCCACGGTCGACCCAAGTAGGCCTTGAAGCTTGATTTTACAAGGGTAAAATCAGGGGCGGCCAAGAATCTACAGTTGATCATAGAGAAACCTGTATGCTCGGTCCAATTTTCGCGGCTTTGAGCGGTGTATGTGATTTTCTGCCCAGGATTTGGTTTACGAGCATAAAGACTACAGTTTTGGAACACAACAGCCGCGTTACCGAATACGAAATCGACCGTACCATATATATGACATTCTCTGTAGAACTGTAGGGCTGAATGGGCATAAAGAGTGTCTTGGTAGCCTTCGAACGAGCAACGATAAAAAGCAGAGTGCTTAGAGTCGCTTCGCAATGCCACGGCTTGTGGTGACCGTCCGGCAAAATTCACGAATGATATGTCCTTAGCTATGAAACCTTCACCATTCACGCCTGCATGAACAATCGTCTAATAGTTAGTCGTTATACCACAACCATATATAATATGCTTTTCAAAAAAAAAAAAACCATATATAATATGAAGATAACATTAGGGTTGATTTATTTTTTTTTAAGAAAGAAAATTTGGATATTATTTGGGCTCGACATATTATTCGGCCTCAGCTTAAACCCATAAGAAATTAAGAATGTGTCCACCTGGACGACGCCATATAACTAGAATTGGTGTGAGATTGGGTACCTACGGTATTGACGATGTTTAGCAATTTGCATTTTTTTCTAAAAAAGCTAAAGTATTTTGATCAAAGGCTAACCTACGGTAGCAGTGCGATATGTTGTCCAGATACCCTTTCTGCGGTTTGCTTTTATGACTGTTCTTCCGATACCGTCTCCCACAAACATTATCATCGTCTTCTTCTTCGGTATCTCAACGTTCTCAAAGTATACCCCACGTTTTATATATATCATAAACCTATAAACAATTTTTTTTGAAGTGACTGGAATAATATCAAAAAAGTTTAAAACGAAAAACAATGACATGGCTCAATTCATATATAACATTTGAAAAAGAAATCATTTGTATCAACATTGATAAACCGAAAACATGTATGTGCATATCTTTTCTTTGTACTAATGATGACATCACCAAATGTTACTGCTGGTGTTGCTCGAGAATAATAAATAAACAAAAAATCTACTAATATAGATTTCCATTTTAAAAACTTTGTTTCAAATTTTAACGTTGGTGTATATTAGAAACTTAAAGTTGAAGGAAAAAACAATGACATCATCAAATTCTCATAAATCACATTTGCAAAAAAAGAAAAGAAAGAAAAAGCATTATGTATTATCAACATTGATAAACCAAAACATGCATGTACATTATCTTTTCTTTGTTCTAACATCACCAAATTTACTACTGGTATTACTTGATAATAAGAAATAAAATAGTACCAATATAGATTTGCATTTGATAATTTTGTTCCAAATGTTAACGTTGGTGCTTTACTACGTTGAGGTAAGATATATGTACCTTGTTACACTCGAGTTAGGAGCGGCCGAGACCGCAGCGTTGATGGTAGTGAAGTTTCCGGTACCATCTCGAGCCACCATGAGATTAAACTTAGTTTTTTCCACCGGAGCGTGAAGGTGTCTCTTGTCATTCTCTAAGACCCAACTCGGGAACTCAACGTCAACCTCGTATGCTCCGGGGGAATGTTTATGCCCTGGAATCTTCTGAAGCATGTACAGAGAGTCACTGAGGTTGCAAGAGATCTTCGAGATGCTATTCTTCAAGCCATCAGTCAATTTATACGTGTTAACATCATTAATTTCATAATTTTCACTTGACGTGAAACCCTCGAGACACGTGTCTTGGTTCGTCAGGGCATCGCTGAGCAACATATTGACGTCGTGGGCCCCAAGAGAGGAAGTTTGGAGTTTGGAGATTGCGGTTTCAAGATCGGAGATAGTGTCATCGAGTAGCTCAAGACAGTCTTCGAATGCGCAGCGGTAACGGTGAGCTATGTTTGGACCAAGACGTTTTTGGAGGTTGAAGAAGGTGGTGTAAGAGACATTGACGTTTAAGATGGTTTGGTTCAAAGTAGCGACGATGAGCTCAGTGATGTTGTTGGGTTCGGTTAGACGCTGCGTGGATTGTGAATGAGCGGTGGATATTAAGAAGATTAGGTGAAAGGTCAATGCTAGTAAGTTGAGATTAATGTGTTTTGACGTTTTTCTACTTGGAATATGCATCTTTTCTTTTTTCTTCAAGACTGTAGTGAGAGCTTGTGGTCTTATATAACACAGAAAGATAATCAATATATAGAGGCGAAGATAAAAATAACAAGGAGACTGGGAATAATATTTACTTTTTTTTTGTCAAAGGAATAATATTACTTTACTCAATTGCATTTCCTACAATGGTAATTCCTTCAATTTATGATAAATTTACTCACACATACATATGAGTATGGAAGTAATACTTTTTTTTAAAAAAAAAATACACATTAAAATGCATCAAGATTTTACACAAACTACGTAAAATGCACAGATTTATAAATTTTCCAAATATATACACCAGATTCAGTCAAAATATTAGTAATCAACTCAAAAAAAGAGCTTTAACCAAGAGATGTATATACATATTTTATCATCTTTCTTCTTTTTCTGTTCTTAAAATGCTGTTTACAGTTTTAATGTAACCTTTAATTTAATATAAAAAATGCACGTCAAAATTACCAAATAAAATTGAATTAAACAAAGCTCCTAAATTAAAATTTTCTTTGTTTTGATAGATAGAAGCAGAAATGCTGACAATGAGACGACATAATTAAAAGATGATAGCTATATTTCTTTTAGGGTTTAGCTATGGACGGTTTAAACAACACTGATTGTCTTCAAAAGAATTTATTATTAGCTGTAATATCCCACTTCAAACAAAGAGTTAGAAAAAGTCAGTAACAAATTTAATAAATAATTCGTTCAAACGTCTTTTTCGTTTAACATGCATGCACCCTTCCCATACGTAATACCAATTTGATCACCCTCCTGTCCTCCACAATCGGCCACTTTGTTTTTTTATTTTCTTTTGGATCAATTAAATCAACAGATGAAAAGAGAGATTAACCATTATAAAACGCGCGTTACAAGAGTGTTGTAATTTGGCGATGGAAAATCATTTCTATTGTAGCTTAAACCTAAGATTATATGTCAGGCTGAAGAGCTAGTTTGATATAAAGACTGTTTGTTCATGTATTTTTAATTGGTTTGTGGTTAAGCAACCAACTGATTACCTGTGGTTGGGACCGAGACATAGAGATTCGCACATGCGATCATGAACTCGCACTAGTAAAAATCCATCGTATAGCCACGACACAGCTACTATGAAATCGTGGCTATAAAAGAAAAAACTGTGGCTAACAAAACACCAACCACGTTTCTATGTCGGGAAAAGTACTGTGGCCATAGCCTCCTGGCTATTAATTACCCTGGTTTTGCGTGGCTATTTAGCCACGGTATTGCCACTCATTTTCCGTGGCTTTTAACTAAAAAATCGTGGCTAATGTACGTGGCTAATGTACGTGGCATTCGATAACCACGGTTTTGCCACTTTATTTTCGTGGTATTATAGAAGTCATGTTTACCTAATTATTTTCGTGGCTTATGTAGCCACAGTTTAAAACTTTCATTAGCCATTCTATTTTAGTGGCTAATTATTTAGCCACTTATTTTTAATTATGTTTTAGTTTTAATTGCTTAATTACGGCTAATTTAAATACGTAAATAATACTAAATAAAAATTAAACCAAAACATGAAATTATATTAATACACTAGTTCTTAAGAGACAAAACATAAACATATATATTACAGAGTATTTGAGTTTGAAGTACCAAAATATTAGAGCTTTAAGAACCAAAAGACAAGAGATGAAGAGGCTAAACATCTAGGTGCCATTGGCTTGGGAAGGTTGTGCTGAAGGAGAGATTTCTTGCTGAGTCGGAGCTGCTTGGGGCTGAAGCATTTGGAGGATCTGACTGACTGCAGATCTTGTTGCAGACATATCATCCTTCATTACTGCCACATCTGTCTTGACAGCACTTACATCAGCATTCACAGTCTGTAAACTCGTCTCCAATCCACTCACACGCAGCTCCAAATTCTAGGTTCCGGGATAGAGAAGCTGGGACTCTTGCAGATGGTGCATGTTCCCTATACTTGGCACTGCCGAGTCCATAGACATACCCCCTCTTACCTGTGGCATTCTGAGATCAATGGAAAAACGTATTCAGTGTCAAACCACAAAGACTTAATCATAAAGACTTAATCAAAACACAAAAGACAACAATTATAAACAACAACTAACTGCTATTATAAACATAAAGACTTAATCAAAACAAAAAAGACATTAGACAAAAGATTGAAAAAATACCTTAAGATAAACTTGGTTTAACATGATGCGAGAAGGAGCTGATGTTGTTGAAGGATTTTGTGGTGATCCTTCAGTGTTAGAGAGCTGTGTGGCTGCTTCCATCTCAGCTTGAGTTACCAGTTCTTCAGCATGGTAGTCCACAAAAGTCCCATCCTTGCGTGTGTGTGTCCTCGGATGGTGGTTCACCAGTCTCGATCGTCTGCAAAACCAGAGAGAAAATAAAATCAGTTAGGCAAATTTGAAAAATAATAAAGGCTTCAGAGAATACCATTTTGTATGCTATCCTAGCAAAACCACAAGGGCCTGCATTGTGCTTGTGTTCTCCTTTACCCACAGGGTCAGACTTGCGGCTTTTTGCAGCTTTCTTGCTCTTCTTCTTGGCTGGTTCTGTCGCCCAATCCTCCAAAAGGTAAGTCCAGTCCGTGTCATTGATGTACTTTGGCTGCTTATTTTGCCTCTTCTTCTTGCTGATCCTTTCACCAATAGTTGTCCATGTTTCCTTCTTCCAAAGGGCATAGACAAGGTCATTAAACTGATGCTCCCAATATAAATTTTGCTACAAAACGAAACAACATTGTTAGTTGTTATCAAAGAATAATTTTTAATCTGTATTTGAAAATCTAAAACACTTACAACAAATGTCTGCCACCATGAATCCCTCCTTTCGTCTGGAACCGACCTCCAACTCTTCCAAGGTCCCATGTGATACCCTTGCCATGTTGTCCGGATGAAGGAGTTGACGCATGGGTCAATAGAAAACCTACACAGAATTCAAACATCAAAGATAAACAACAATCCTAAGCTATCAAACATCAAAGAAAATAACGATCCTAAGCTAACAAACATCAGAGACAGTAATGTTCCTACGTTAACCACTAACCCTTTTGACAAACAAGTATTAATATATCCTAATCTACCGATATCAATATATCCTAAGCTAACAAACATCAGAGACAACAGACTTACCATAAAGCTCCATTGAGCTTATCTGGATGTAGATGCGGCTGAGACATCATAGCAGGGGCATTGAACTTGGCATTGAGAGACATTTGCGGATAGCTATTTGAGCGAGATGATGAAGCTTGTCCGGTTGCAGCAAATCCAGTGGCACCAGGGGACATTTGAGGAGGAGACCCAAAAGGTGATCTTCGGTTGTCCATCTGCAGTTAAAAGAAGAGAGTAAAAGAGTCATATAAAGAATGAAATCGAAAAACAAATAAACAGAGAAAGCGAATCCAGAAACCCTAAATCCTAAGTGGAGACATATTAATCTAAACAGACAAACCGAATCAAGAAACCCTAAATCGACTGTGTCTAGAAGCCGAAAAAACCCTAAATCAATTGTCTTTATGAATTTTAAGAACCCTAAATCAATGTATCTACAACACGAGACTAAGAACCCTAAATCGATGTATCTAAACATGCATGACCACAAAGGGATCTAAACAGAAAAAGAAACCCTAAATCGATTATCTCTACAACACGAGATTAAAATCCCTAAATCAATTCTCTTAAAGAAACCCTGAAGACAAACCCTAGATCGATGGACCTGTTAACTAAACATGCAAGACCCAAAAAAATATAAAGGAGAAAACAAACGACTGAATCTTGGAAACCCGAAAGAAATAACCCTAATCTAAACAAAGATCGACTCGATTAGAGATGACGACAGAAAGAATGGTCGAGAAAGAGAGAGAGAGTTAGTAACCCTAAGAGAAAGGGTTGGTAACCCTGAGAGAGAGAGAGAGTTGATCGGAATCGGCGATGAGAGATCACGACAGAAAGAATCGTCTCGAGAGAGAGAGAGAGTTTGTAATTTTTTTCTAAGTGATAACCCTAAGACAGAAAAGACTAATCGAGTAATAACCCTAAGACAGAGCCACGGAAAAAATAGTGGCCAAACCAAGGGTATATTAAAATTAAACCGCTAATCCAACACTTTTACCAAAAATAATTGGAGCCAAAACCAAAATTTTGGAGCCAACCCGAATTTTTTTCCACATTGCCACTAAATGACAGTAGCAAAACAGTGGCTGTACTAGAAAGAAACCGCGAATCAAATTTAATTAGAGGCAAAACCAAAATTTTGAGCCAACCCGAATTTATTTTCGAATTGCCACGAAAAATTAGTAGCAAAACCGTGGCTATCTTCTAAGTAAACTGCGAATCAAAATTAATTAGAGCCAAAACCAAATTATTTTGGAGGCAAACCAGTACACGCAGGATATACTGTATTAAAGTGCTTCCACGCTAAGGCATCAGAAGGGTGACGCCTTCCGTACACACATGTTCCTTATGCCACCGCATTTTCGAAGCTGTCGCCTCGAGTTGGTATAGACGTTTGAGACGATCTGTTATCGGCATGTAAAACATTCTCTGTTTTGGTTTGTTTTTCCCTTTTCCATGGTTCTAGTAATAACGATCTGCTTCACAAAACCGACACTTAACCAACTTCACATCTCCCCCTTCCAAAAAAGCATACAATTATTCTCGCAAACATCAATCTTCTGTAAGGGTAACCCAAGAGCTCGTGTCAACTGCTTTGTCTCGTAATACGATGATAGAGCTTTATTCGGATGCGGAAGCATTTTTTTAAATGCTTCAGATAATTCATTTACACAAGCTTCCGCCAAATTATAATCTTTCTTTACTTTCATCATCCGCGAAGCAAGATACAACTGAGATATTCCTTTGGGCATCCATCGTAAAGAGGTTGAGTAGCTGCTTCAAATGCTTCAAAAGCGCTATCATGATATGGTTCCGCTATACCCGTCTCTTCAATAGGTTCCGGCATGTATGTCGGTGCAATGTCCGCATGTACTT